CTTTTTTTACTTTTGTTGCAGAAGGCCATTCAGTGTCCGAGTGTCTGAGTTCATTGGCAAACAGCAACATGACGGCCAACGAATATTCACATCGCCTTTAACAAGAACGGCTGCTGCCAGGATCAACTCTTAAAAAATGTTTTCTGTTGAACAATCGCCAAGCCTAGTTTAAGTCTAACAGTGCACTTTAATGCAAACTTGCAATAAAACACCGTTAGCTGTCAACACACCAAAAATTTGACACCCCTTAGAAATACCAGCCTCCTGGTTGTCAATCAGCTGTTGTAGATCTCAGGTTTTTTAATTAATATGCATAGTTAATTAGCTGCTTTCTGTCAGACGGCAGTAAAATGACAGCTTGCCGAGCTAACCAACATCACTGCATGGATGGCTGCCATATTGTCTCATGTATTATCATTACTCTCACCTGATGTCAAAATCCTACCCATCCTCAGAGGAAACTAAACTAGTGACCTCTTGCACCAGGCCTGTTTGTTTTCTTTAAATACTGTTCATGCGATTATGTCCTCAATGTGACAGAACAAGCAAGACTTTAGGCTTTTGTTGGTCATTATGTGCAACTTAGGGGGAAAAAGCATTTTTCAAATAGTCACAATTAAGCTTTTATATTGAAGAAAGAGTTATGAACTGAGAGTGCCACAAGAAAGTTTTTATAGATTTTGAGACAGTGACGTCACATATGGAAAACCTAATGTGTTGAAAAATGTGGGTTTTTTTTTGTTTTGTATACTGTCAAATAGTTTGTTGGGTTCATCTTTTGATGTATAAACTGCAATGCACACTTTGCTTGGATTCCTAATCATGCAGGACTGACTGCCATGAAAATGTCAGAGCAAGACAAGATGGGTGTCCAAGAGCCACTAGATTTTATTGTGCATTCAGCAATACTTCAGCAGTTGGTAAATCCAGTTTCCAAGGCTTTAACCAACAATAACATTGTTTTGAGCTGAAGGGAGGGAAAATGTTCAGCAGCCTTAAAGAAAACCGTGGAGCAAAACTTCAAATAGTTGGTAGGCATAATGCAGGAGTGGTAAGAAATTAGAGACATTTCAAGATGTATTCAAAATCCCTAAAGAAAGCATTTTTATACTTTTAACAGAATTGTTCTTTCTGTCAGTGAAACACATCCATCCATCCATCATCTTTTACCCGCTTCTTCCTTTTTGCACCGTGGAGGTCACTAGTGACCATGTCCAGCCATCACTGTGCAAGAGATGGAGGACACCCTGGACAGGTCTCCAGTCCATCACAGGGACACAGAGAGACAAACAACCATTCACTCTCTCACTCACACCTAGGGACAATTTAGAGTTACCAGTCAGTCTAACATGCATGTTTTTGGTCTGTGGGAGGAAACCAGAGTACACGGAGAAAACCCACGCATGCACAGAGGGAACATGCAAACTCCACCCAGAAAGGCGTCCTGGCCAGGATTCGATCCAGCAACCTTCTTGCTGAATAAGAATAAGAAGGCTGCGCTTTCATAGCAGCAGCTTCGTGCACTCCGTCCATCTTTCGGATGACTGTACGTACATGTTCTTGTTGTATCTCGGTGCAATGATAATAAAGCTTATTCTGATTCTGAGAGGCGGCAGCTCTACCAACTGCGCCACCGTGTCACTCAGTGAAACACAGTCAAAGTGAAAATAGTAAGAAGGTTAAAAATTGATTAAAAAAAAGTCTAAAATAAATTGTATAGCAGCACATTTTCCCCACTACAGCAACTTAATATACCAAAAATGTTTTTTTTTATAAAATATCCACTTTTTTAGTTATTGTAAAAATCTAATGTTCTCATCAAAAACTTTGTGTGGATGACCTAAGTGCAAACCTAATGTTAATTTTCAGTTTCTCGTTTGTCTCTATGTGTCCATGTGATGGACTTATGACCTGTCCAGGGTGTCCCCGGCCTCCTAGAGTGACTGCTGGATATGGGCGCCAGTGACCCCCATGACCCAGGAAGGAAGAAGTGGGTAAGGATAATGGATGGATGGATGCATGGATGGATGGATTTAAATTACCTATAGTAGTGTGGACGAGACCTTTGTTGGATCTTCTCAGCTTAGTTTTGGTCCATGTCTTCATGCTCTGTTATAATGTAGATAAACTGTTCATGCACAGACAAATGAGTCCAACGTCATCAAAGCCCCATAAAGCTCCATCAATGTGGTGTTTATGTTAAAAAAAAGAAAAGAAAATTAAACACTTTCTACAATAGAGGATTTTAAAAACTCAGTTTCATGTGCATTTGTGTGGAAAGGAACAACAGAGGTTTTCAGAAACACTTGGTTCACACTCACTATTACTTTGTGCACTAGAAACACAAGCATGAGCTGTTGTACCTGTTTCTGTATCTGTTTTTATCCTGATTCTCTTGTTGCTAGAAGAAACAATGATTTGTATTCAAAGGGGAGGAAAAAAGTATTTCTTCAATATACTGTATTTGCAAAATGCGTATTTTGTCATTTTTGTTGGAATGTGTGAACAGAGAAAAAAATTAAATGAATATCTGGAGTAGTGTAGAACAGTCCTTAAAAATCTATTTGACAATAAGAAAATTTAAAAAATAGCACTTGGTGCTGTGGTGATGAACTTTTAGATAGAAAAAATAGTCCAAGCAGGGGGAATATGCAAATGTAAAGTTAATACCGACACTTTCTCTGCCAAAACAGAAAAAGCAAGGGTAAAATAGGACACATTTTTGGCAGCCCTTCATCAAAAGCATAAAGCAGTGGCCACAAGGGGAGAAGTAAACAGATTAGAAAAGCTATTGACATTTCCCCGTAGCAATGAAGGGGTGTCGAATGGCAGCATGGATGATAAGGTGTACAGGCTTTCGGTCCCTCAACTCATGTTTTATGTATCTGTGATCACAACTGATCGTGAGAGAAATTAATCAATACCAGTACAGTTACGATGTGAGGATGACACATGCCACTGCCCACCCCTTACACCCCCACCATACACACCTTCATTCTCCTCACCCCATCCATTTTGATTCAGGGGCCTGTTGTTCGCCCACGTCTAGGTGAGGGATTTTTACATCCCCGGCGTGCTTGGAGGAACTCCATATGGCCGGGATCAAAGGTGTTGCTGGGTGCATGGTTCTGCTTGGTTGCCAGCCACCGCCGTTAATTAGAAAACAAGATCAGAGGCGGTATTAAAATCCAATTAAGCCCGTATGAACAGATTGCCAAGTGATGTTCACTAATGCATTACTGAGCACCATGCAAATTTTAGTGGCAGCATTTGGCTTTATGTTATGTGTTTGTGTCATCAAGAGTGTGTGTGTGTGTGTGTATGGGGGAGTGTACTTGAAACTGTGCCCAAGTGTGTCTATGTACGAGTCACGTGCTGGCTATTCAAGGCTCTGTGACATTGCTTGATCTTTTCCCCGATACACAGCTCTAATCTCATATAAACAATCAGCTAAAGCTCTGCACAACAACAACACCTCTCCTCACAATGAGATTGGACGATATTGCTTCTTACAATTAAAGCATAATTGAGAATGCTGAATTATTGATCCATTGTAACTGAGTTCTCCTCATTTGATTTGTGTGAGGAACTAATATGATGCACAGAAAATCCTGCAGATCTGGATTAATTGCCTGGGAGTGTTTGAGTTTTCAGACTCTCTATTCGGTCTCCATCGTCCATTTAAGGCTTTCCATTGAAATCATTTTCAAATTTTCAGATAGCTGTCAGTAGACAAAATTAAACCGGGTTAAGGAATTGGATGAGGCATATTAAAATTCGTACATAAAATCATTCTGCACAATAAGTGCCAATTTAGTCCATGAGTTTCATTCACCCAGCAGACAGACAGGGCATCTGTACCAAAGACTGACAAGTGGATGCAGCTGGTGGCCTATGGCCCGAAGCATCCACATTATCACAGACGAGGGCTGTTAATGCTGAGCTGAATGGGAGCCCCTTTTGAGATACAAAATAGCATTCTGATTAGAAAGCCAGGAAATACACATTTGAAGAGCCGGAAATTGTCACAATGCAGAACCATGGCACATTTGGCACAGTCTCAAGCTGGGGTATAGAGGACCGAGATCTTAACGAGAAGACGTGCTCAATCAAACACATTGAGGTTCCTCACACGTTTTACGGTTCTTCTACAGGATATGTTCTTTGTGTCAAAGTTTTCTTCTTAACATGATAATCAAAGTGAACAGTGAATGCATGATTTGTTGGAGTAATGCTCCATAGAGCTCACAGTTTCTTGGATGGCAAGACAACTGGTCTCTTAGCTTGCACATAATTTATTTTATTTGTATAAAAAGTATATTGATTTATGTATCACTAAACTAAAATGTATACCATAAAAAAAGGCAACGCAAAAAAAATATTCCATTGCATAACCAAGCTAGTTAATTGGTTAACAAACCGGAAGCCAAATTAATTGGTGTATTTACGCTCACGTTTTTATTGTTTTACAGGTCACGTTTTTTAATACATTTATTTATTTTGAGAATTAATTGTAAAACACAAACAAAACTACACTTTGTATAATGTAATATAAATGTAAGGCTGTTTTAAGGCTTGTCATATTTTCACAACACAAAATAATACATTTTAAAGCTTAATTTTAACCAGCTGGTTTAAGCGAACAATAACATAAAAGCAATAACTTAAAACAAGTTTAATGAATGAACTAAATAGTCTAGAAACTGATTGACTTTTGCTGAAGTGCATGTCAAATCAAACTGTGGCATTGAAAAAAAAAACGTTCAATGAATTAGTTTTGCTTTGCTATTATTTTTTCTAAATTGCACATAATCTGCAATATGCTGTAAAAATGTATGTGTAGATTATAAAACAAGAATGTGGTCCAATTTTAAAGGCCTCATATTTCAGGTTAGGCGAGCACCTTTATCAGGATGAATACCTGACAGCTGCGTGTTGTTAGCTTGGGATGTGGTGATTGGTCAGTGCAGCTCACTTGAAACATGTATTCACCAGGTTTAGGGGACACTGGCAGTAGAACAGCTCATCCAACATGATGGCTGTCTTGGCTTCTTCAGGGTAAGAAGTGATCTGTTCCCATAGTTGGCGTCTCTTGGAAGTAGTTGTAATTTTGACCTTCTGTTTTTCATTAGGGTGTGGCTCCTTGTCATGATGACTGGTGCAATCAATGGCTACCGCACAATGAAAGGTAAATATACCTTTTGTCCTGCCTGTACATCCATGCACAAACAGTTGTATCCGTGCCCATTTGTGTTTAACTTCTCACTGTGCAGCTTTGGATCCTTATAGTGGTTATAATGTGGACTCTTCCTCTGGTACTGGTGGAGAAGTACCTCTGATGGGGCCTGTAAAAGCAGGCTCTGGTTCTTCAGCTGTGTATCCAGTTTACCAGTCTGCTCCACATGAACAACCTGAATACATCCAATGGCGCGCGCCGATGAGAAAAGCGCCTGATCCTTATGGTTCCATGTATACTGCGCCTGCATACTCCCAGTATGACGGCAGCTCTCCGTTAGGCTCAACGCAATCAAGACCTCCAGTTCCCCCGATGCAAGGTATGAGATTTGCCTAGCTTTATTAAAATACTGTTTCATTTTAACTCGATGTCAGCGTTGCCATATTTAACATTGTTTTTTTTGTTTGTTTTTTTTATCTGGACAGTACAACCACCAGGCCCTTTCTTTCATGGAGCATCATCTAATGATCCAAGGTTTGCCTCCAATCCTAAGCCACCTGGTCTTCATAATGAGAGCCCACCTGGCCCATTTCTTCCTGTATTTCAACCAGGTGACTTCTCCTACGAGGAGAAAACTTATGAACACGGAAACTACGACACTGACTCTGAAGAGCAAGGTCCTCCTTCCCAGTACCTCCCTGTCCCAACTCTCAACAGGCTCCCTATCAGCAGCCCACTGGCGTTGCATGCACTTTTGGATAGATTTCGGCTTGGTTATCCTTTTATGGATTACATGTTGCTGACCAGACCGTATCCCACAGGCACATACACACTTTCCACCGATAACTTTGAACATGGGAGGAACCAGTGGCATAACTCTTTTGGGGCTCCTGGTGGCCCCATTAAGCAATTGGACCCCTTTCATGACTCCAGGAGATTAAAGTATTTTAGACGACCTGTACTACAGACTATTGGAAATACTGATGTAACTGGATTCTCCAGTCCTACAGAGGAGCTGGTCTGAATCTTCTGCGTGGGCAGCTTCTGATCATGTGACCTAACAGATGAGAAGTTCAAGTAATCCTGATTACAATCTGAACTGTTTTTGCCATCCAACACTGCTCAAACGGTTCTAGTTAATTTACCTCTTCAGATTGCCTGACTGTTTTTTAGATCTTTTCACTTCAATAAAAATATTGAAAGAACTTTTTTTTTTTTTTGTCTTCAGCTGGTTCAATGATGCAGCTTAGTTTTACAAAATGCATTGTTTTTAATGTGGCCTGTTATTGACCTAATGCTTAAAATGTTTAGATTAATAAACTGATGTTTTAAAATCTGACAAGAGTTTACCAGAGCTTTGGGCAAATTACATGAATAATAAAAAAAAAAAAAATTTAACATGACTTGTAATGCACTAGTTCAAAAATGCTTTTTTGTCACTTCAAATCATTTCAGGCGCTCTTTGAATTTACAACCTAAACTTGGAAAACAAGACAAAGTTGAGATTTTAAATACTTAAAAAAAACGACTGGATTGAAAAGTGCTTTCTGATTGAGGGGAAAATTCCTGAGCTGTTTATTATTCAATGATTATTTAAAAATATCTCGTACCTTCTAGATTAAATGCTGTTATGCACATACACTCCAGCAGTTGATCAAATATAATTTGAACAAGATGAAGCTTGTATAGAAAAGGGATAGATGGAAGAATCCACCATGATCAAGATTAATGTCCAGCAGCTGTGTATTATTACCTTGTTAGGTTCTGTTTGTTCAGTGCTGTTAGCTTGCAGTGTTAGTCTCACTGGGTATTTGTGATGGTACCAGTGTGGCAGCTAAGTGATGGCTGGTTTGATTGCCTCAGGGTAAGGAGTGGGATTGCTGTTTAGTTTCTGTTGAGCTGCTGTAGTTATGACTGTTTTTTCAATAGGGTGTGGCGGTTTGTCATGTTGACTGGTGTTACAGCTATCCCACAAAAGGTAAAAAAAAAATTTAATCAATTCCTCCCTGAATTTTTACAGATTTTCCACAATATTCACTTGAAGTCCTGCTTCCAGATAAGACCAACTACCCAGTGATAGCAGTGCTGTTTTTTTTGTTTGTTTTTTTTTTAAATCAGCTGCCATAAAACCAATCTGTTCCATGTAAACAAACTTGAAACATGTTGAGACTGTTGTCTGCTGTAATATATTTCCTGCACACACAGGATATGATGGCTGGTCCAGCAGGCTCACCACAGTGAAGACTCGAGTTTCTTCAGTCTAAGGTAATGAGTGTATGAATCCTGAAAAGCTCATTTCTGATAAATTTATTGTTTGTAGCTACAATTTTATTTAGTAACTAATACATTATCTTAAAACTCCAGTTTAAACTATTTTAATATATTCATAAATCTATTTAATGAAGTATTTCTGTACAGTCTTTCATATTGGTTCTTTTTTTTAGCTAGCCATTAGCATGTCCTGTGCAATCTGGGACCCTTTTTAGCAGGAATCTGAATGTTTCTACTGCGAAAGTCTTTTTTCAGAGGCTCCCTTTCTCAGGGGGCGCCACAGCGATCCAACTTGCACGAAGACTTGGCAGTTGTTTTTACGCTGGATGCCCTTCCTGGCACAACCACCGAGCTACCACAGCTCTGTGTGGAGCAGGGTGCTGCCATAGTGCACCATGGGGGAGCAGATGGTGGAGCTTAAGAGCCTTGCTCAAGGGCCCAGAGTGGCAAATGAGAGTGGAGACAGGTGTGGGTGTTTCACTTTTTCCACCAACATTTTGATATTGTTGATCTGTTGAGTTGAATCGGTGATGTTCTGATCACAGGTTCTCCTTCTCTAACCTGCTTGGTGTCCTCTATGCAAACCCCTTGGGCCCATTTCTTTCTGTATTCAAGCTTGTCAGAATGTACTTTGTGGAGAAAATGTATGAATTTGGCAACTACAACTGAATCTGAAAAAAAAAAAGAATATGCTTGTTCAGATAGATTCCAGTTCAAACTTGTGGTAGATGGCATTCTGGTAGTCCTTTGTGATGTTGGGTCAACCTGTAGGTGGACTGCTGGCCAGGTAGCGCAACAGTTAGCACCCTTCTGTTTCTAGGAACATGAATGGGGAAAACCCTAGACATGTTTAGAATGGCTGACTGCTGGTCAAGTTTGTGACTATGAATAAGACCAGCTCAACAATATAGCTCACACTTTTACATGCAGCCACATCTATTCTATTTTTTATTTCTATTTTAGAGTTGCAAATGCACACAGCTGGTACTTTAAAAGTTTGGAAACCTTTTTTTTTTTTTTTTTCCCAGGCTGGTGTAATGCTGCTGGCCTTGTTTTGAGTAGTAAGTTTATTTTTTTTAAGTCAAATCTTTTGAAAACTTAAGTTTTGAAAAATTACATTTGCCAAATCAGCTTTAAACTTTGTATATTTTATAAAAATCTGATTTTTATTTAATTGGATATTTATCTTTTGTTGATGAGCAGACTGGCTTGTCCTAATGGTTCAACCACAGGTGTAGTAATAACTTTATTTACTTTAATTATATTCCAGTCATGCCAATTAAATTGCCTCCTTTTGTGTTGTGAAAAGTTCTTGCCAAGACTCGGTTTCATGAACAAATCTGAATCATCATGGAATTCCTGTTGAATAGAATTTGTGCTCTGAAGTTCTGGTTGAAATTTTACAAATTTAGAACTATTCCAATTTAATTATTTTTTTGTATTCTCGTTACTGATTAAGATAAATCTTCATACATATCCATAAATATGACGCTTTGGCGTATAAGTTGCAGGGCATGCAAATTATGCAAACTGTGACTTTATAGGGTGAAAAATATGGTAAGTTGCATTACCATGTCCTAGAATTGCGCCGCTCAAGGTGGCTGCATGTTGGAGCAGCTCTGTTACATTCATTCTGAGATTTTGCTTTTGGAAACTTTAATTCCTCTTTTTCTGGATGTAAATCACATTTTTTGGATGATTCTTTCCTCTGGTATCAGATGCTGTGCAGCCGGAAGGATTTTTACTGAAACTTTTTTGGTTTTGGACATTTATGATGCGTAACCATGGCAACAAGGCAGTTTTCTACAACAACAACAGCAGCTGATTAACATCTCAAAAGCTCAAATAATATCTCAACTATGGCCCCAACTCTCAAATGAGTTGAAAAGGATGTTCTGTGGACGCATTCTCATCTACCTGCCAGCTGTGCTCGAGTGCCTGACCACCGAGATCCTGGAACTAGCAGGAAACACAGCTCACGACAGCGGAAGGACAGGATCGTCCCTCGGCACCTACAGTTGACTGTCCACAGCTATGAGGAGCTCGGCAGACTGCTGGGAGGAGTGGCCATCGCTCTGGGAGGAGTTCTGCCCAGCATTCAAGCGGTCCTACAGTTCAGGGGAACCGAGAGGCCAGCCGAGTCTGGGTGGACGGATCGGACGGCATCTGCAGCCAGTTTCTTAGGATCCACTGTGGGATGGACCTTTACAAGAGATCCTTCCTGTCTACAGCCATCAGCATCGATAACGTCTCTTAATGAAATGAGGGTAACGAGTTGCAACAACAAAATAATTTCCCTTTGGGATTAATAAAGTATTATTGAATTGAATTATGTTGTAGATCAATGTTTCTCTACCTCCATAGCATTTAATTTTAGTATCTAATCATGTCCACCATTCAAGGTAAAATGTTAACACCAGGTACTGGCCTTTTAAACTTTAGTGTCATTTATTTAAATGTGCTTTTTATATTCTTCGGAATGAGAATCTATGAAAATCTCCTACAATTCATATTTTGCATGTCCTATACTTTTCAGAAATGGTCAATATTGTCAGACTTAAACTATGTAGTTCAAATGGAGTCAAGACCAAAGTCCTCTTTGGTGTTCAGCTTGAGGTCCCTCGATGACTGTTGAACAAGAAGTAGCAAAATGTAAATGTTATGCTTCTTAATTATCCCGTAGTTGTGAAGTCATGGCATCCTCAATAGGCAGAAGACATGAAGTTATTAGTCGTCGTCATTTAATGGATTACGGACCTGTCCAGTGTGTACCTTGACTCTTCAATGGCTGCTGGAAATGGGTACTAGCTTCCTGTGACCCTGCACAGAGCAGCGAGTAAAGAAAATGTATACTCAAGGTTCAGCATAAATGATGTAAAAACTTTGTGATGATACTATGACAAAGTAAAGGTTTTCATATCTTACTCTGCCACAGTAACGAGTAAGTCTTTCTTTACCAATGGTCACTTGGGGCAAACGCTGACACTCAAGAGACTAAATGGTTACCTCCAGTAAGATTCCTGTCGCTGCATAAATGTACCCATCGTGAAAGGCGGTGAGACGAGGGACAAAAAGGGAATTGTCCCTCGGTGACCTTTCATTTTTCAGTCTTTCCCTTTTTTTTTCCAGTCAATCCCCAAACAATTTAATCCTTTTCTCCCAGCCTCACACTTATCTCTTACAGTCTCGCATCACTGATCCCTGTGGTTAGTTCTACTGAAATATGACTTAGGCCAGTTTTTATTTATTAGCATGTTTTCATCATTGAAATTTAAAATCGGGCACAAATCCAGCTGGTTTTCAAAGACGTGTCCAGGTTGGGGCGACTTCTATCCTTGGAGTGTCACATCAAAACCAAAGGGCAGCATTTCAGGAGGTTTATCTTGTCAAATGTAGGCTACTAAAAAGTAAATACATTTTAGTATGTTTATTAAAGAATTGTTTTGCTATAGAACTACTGTACTTATTTTTTTAATGTAATTTACTGAGACTACTAAGGCAGTACAGTGGCTCTGTTGGTAGAGCTGTTGCTGTCCAAGTCAAGTTTACTGTCATTCACATCGTGTGGTACATGAGGTGGAACAAAATTATGTACTCGGGGACCCAGTTACACCCAAAAATAGCAAAAATATAAAGTATAAAAATAAACCGTACATAAGGATCTAAGATGTATGCTAAAAGAACGCTAAACAGTACGCCAAAAGAGTTAATGTATACGCTAAACACTAATGTAAAACAATACAGTGTAACAGCAGCCTGAACATGAGTCTGAGGTGAGCAGATGG